ATGTGATTCTCAGAGCACTGCCACCCCAGACTATTTCAATGATTGCTGTAAGCGTCCATATGTGCCAAGAGCTATAAGAAACTAAAGCACAAGTATCTTCTCTATTTTCATTTATATTTGACCCTGCTCTGTACAATAGGTGAGGAAGGTATTAATTTCTTAACTTTTCTTTCCCACCTTGGTGTAATCTGAACCTTGGGTCTCAAAGTGCAGCCCAAAAGGAAAGGCTGTGGGGAAGAAGGGTTCCCATTCAGGTCGGTTAAGGTCTTTGCTCTGGTTCCTGCTTCTTATCTAAAAACTACTTTTGCCCTGGAAGATGGGCAGTGGAAGTCTGCCCCCCTTCAGGGAATACCCAACCCTGACCTCTGTATACAAACACTTCAAAACACAATGCCACAGCACTGGCCCTTGTAAGCCATTGGGACCACGTTTCCTGGCCACACAGTGTGGTCCCCAGGCACGGTGCTTCCTGCAGTGTGCAGCGCGTGGCCCCAGCTGTGTCCTACCACACCCCCCTCCCCTGCTTTTGCCACACTAACTCGTGTTGCCTCATGAACATTTCCACTTATTCTCATCAGCTCCTTCCGCCTTCCATCCTCGTGGAGTTTGTGGTGGCTGCCACTGACTGTGCTGCTGCAGAAGTTGTAGACTCGGCCAAGTGCAACCTGCTGGCAGACAAGGTGAGCTGGCCAGACCTCAGGTAGCAAAGTGATTATGGAACAGGGCATCCCTAGAGCATGTTGGTATCCTGGGGCTGCAGGAAAGAGCTACCTGTGCAAACAGCCTGCAGGGCTGCTGATGTCAGGCCTTCCTCTGGGTGCCACCTCCCCTCCTTAAGAGCTGTTATCAAATCATCATACCCTCTGGAAGCTCCTGGAGTTAGTGGAGAGACAGAGGCTTTTCTAAGTAAGCTAAGTCAGGCCCAGCTGCTGGGAGTATGAAGTGTAGACTCTCTGGATGCACTTCTGCTATGAAATCTTTCAAGTCCTTGAGCCAGTAATGTCTACTTCTAGGAATTTAGCCTGAAGAAATCATCAGAGATGACTGGCAGAAATATATCTATAAAGATGATTTATCATAGATGTAAAATGACCCACAAAAGATCTGAATGTCCAACAGGAGGAGGTCATTGAATAAAATATGGCATATCAGTAAATAGAAAATTATTCAAACATTAAAAATTAGTTTACTAAGACTAATGAATGATATAAGAAAATACTCTCATAGTAAGCGAAAAACACAGGATGCAAAATGGTATAGTCACAATAATCCCAATTTTTAAGTGACATTTAATAGTATCTTAAAATAAGAAAGAAATATATGGACATTAACAGAAGTTCACCTTTGTCACCGTGATTCCTGGTATTATGGGTGACCTCTCTTATCTCAAAACATTTCTGTATTTTCTACATTCTACCTAGAACTATATGTTGCATATCTTCTATAACCGGAAACTAGAAACTTTAGGAAAAGGGTTTTTCTTAAAAAAGAAATTAAGAATTTAAGCTTTCTTTCCTTTGACATGTTAGAGTATCAGTGGAGGAGAAATCCACTCTTTTAACTTGCTAAAATAACTCCCTCTTTTTTGGGCAGGTATATGGCTTCTGTAAGGCGACTGTCACTGAGAAGGTTGGTGGGGAAGATGTTGTAGTGACCTGCACGGTGTTCCCAAAAGAGGTAATGGCTTTTTGGATATACTTGCCTGCATCTTCTGAACACAGTAACTCCTTAACATGTAGGCAGTGCTTCTGTAATTACTGCCCTGTCCTGGTGAGCCCCACAATATATGTAGTGCTGGGGCATGTGGGGCATCACTAAAAAATGGAAGGATTCTTCAGCCATGCCTTCCCCTCCCACGAACTGGTGGCTATAGGAAGAGCCATCCTGGTTGTGTAGCTGACAAGGCCACCTTTTTATTTATGGTGGTGGGAGTGATTTTCTGAGTTGCAGAGACCAGGTGGCCAGACCTGCCTGCAGCTCCTGGTGGCTGCAGGTGTGGATGACCAAGAGAGTGACACTGCTGGGGAAGCTTAGCCAAGACGCAGGGTGCTTTTGCTCATGTGACATGTGTAAGTGCACCATCCGCGAGACAATTTGTGAGGAAAGAGGCACGACAGGCCCATTACCCCTCACCCCTATAGCTTTGATGACAGTGCTTTGTACCTAGGTAGTTCTTTTTTGGCCAGATTCATTGC